CGGGAGCAGCCACTGCACTCCAGTCTGGGCGACAGAGTGAGACTCCAACTCAAAAATAAATAAGTAAAATAAATAAATAAACAAATAAATAAATAAATACAATCTGACTCCCCACTGAACTTTCTCTGATCCTACCCTAGTGAGAGTCTAGTAGCTGGGTAAAGGTGGCAGTCTAGGCTGTCTACTTTGACCTTGCTGACCAAGGGAGTGGGGATTTGCAGGTTTTTTCTGTAATGTTTGACTGGGATAGAGTGATTGATTATTGACTAAAACTTTTCTGCTTTGGTGGGCTATCCTTTCCTTGTCCTTCAGGTGGAGAGAGCATGCTCTCGTTTTGGCTTTTTGTACATATCCATTCCCATTACTGGTTGTTGGCTTCTCTTTCACCCAGTCTAGGATATTTCAGGCAAAAAGAAAATCCAGGGAACTAACTACTATGTTATCCCTCAGGTTCTGCACTTTCTGACTAGTCTGTCTTTTCTCTACCTTTCAGAGTCTTTTTCTTTTCTCTACCTTTCAAAGTCTTTTTGTCTTTTTTTTTTTTTTTTTTTGAGTTGGAGTCTCACTCTGTCACCCAGACTGGAGTGCAGTGGCCGCTCCCGGCCACCGCAGCCTCGACTTGCTGGGCTCTGGTGATCCTTCCAAGTAGCTGGAACTACAGGTGTGCATTACTATGCCCGGCTTATTTTTTGATTTATTGTAGAGATGAGGTCTCACCAAGTTGCCCAGGTGGGTCTCAAACCCGTGGGCTCAGGCAATCCACTCACCTCAGCCTCCCAAGGCACAGGATTACAGGCTGAGCCTGGCTCTTTTTGTCTTTTTATATATAAATATCAAGGGTATTTAACTGTACTTGACAGGAGGAGTTCTCAGTTTGTTTCTTTTTTTTTTTGAGCTAGAGTCTCACTCTGTCACCCAGACTGGAGTGCAATGGCTGCTCCCAGCCACCGCAGCCTCAACCTGCTGGGCTCCGGCGATCCTTCCGCCTCAACCTTCCAAGTAGCTGGAATTACAGGTGCGCGCTACCACGCCCGGCTAATTTTTTTGATTTATTTGT